TTCACCCCAGTCAAACTTCTTATCCTTCTGAGTTAGCGAGGTAAGGGGTTTGGCAATCTTAGAGAAGTTTGCGATGAACCGTCGGTAGTATCCTGCCAAACCCAGAAATGAACGGATTTCTGAGGGTGATTTAGGGGTTTTCCATTTCTTTACTGGCTCAATCTTACTGGGGTCCACATGAATTCCATCGCTGTTAACTACGTGACCGAGAAATTGTACCTCTTGCAACCAGAATTCGCATTTCGAAAACTTGGCGAACAACTTCTCTTTCCTAAGTAACTCTAGGATTAGCCGTAGGTGTGCCTCGTGTTCTTCCTTGGACTTCGAATAAATCAAGATGTCGTCAATGAAGACGATAACAAATTTATCCAGATATGGCTTGCACACGCGGTTCATCAGATCCATGAAAACTGCAGGTGYATTGGTTAGTCCGAAGGGCATGACTGTAAACTCGAAATGTCCATAACGAGTCCTAAATGCGGTCTTCGGAATGTCTGCTTCATGTACCCGCAATTGATGATAACCGGAGCGAAGATCTATCTTAGAGAAAAKACGCGAACCTTGTAATTGATCGAATAAGTCGTCTATCCTCGGGAGAGGATAACGGTTCTTAATGGTCAATTTGTTCAGTTCTCAGTAATCTATGCACATCCGGAAAGAGCCATCCTTCTTCTTGACAAACAGAACAGGTGCACCCCATGGTGAGTGACTAGGTCRAATGAAACCCTTGTCTTGGAGCTCTTGAAGTTGGTTGGACAACTCCTCCATTTCAGTCGGCGCCAAGCGGTAYGGTGATCTGGCAATAGGAGTCGCTCCGGGAATTAAATCTATGCGAAATTCAACTTGTCGAGGAGGGGGCAATCCCGACAGGTCTTCAGGGAATACTTCAGGAAAATCCCGAACAACCGGAATATCTTCGAGTTTCCTCTCATCTGCCTTCGTACTCATAAGATGCTTCGAATCTTCCTGAGGCCGATCTCCACGAACCAGGAGTACTACACCGTTCGACATGGGGATTCGAACTATCTTCTCGTGACAAACTATTACGGCCCTAACCTTCGCCATCCAATCCATTCCCACAATCACGTCAAAACTTCCATACCCAAATGGTATCAAGTCAATAGCGAAAGGATAACCCCCTAATACTAAGTTACACCCACGAACAACCTTATTAGCTTCAACCTTTTGACCATTTGCTACTTCTACCATAATACCRRAGTCCAAATTACTAGGTTTCATATCCGTTAGAGTCACAAATTCAGTGGAAACGAAACTATAATCAGCACCAGAATCAAATAGTACAGTAGCATAGTAATTGTTTAAAGAAAAAGTACCCGTRACAATGTTAGGATCCTGCCGAGCCTCGTTTGCCCCCATGATAAAGGCTCTTCCACGGATTGGATTGCCACCGCTCCCCTAGTTTTGGTTTCCCTCGATAGCTGGCGCTTGATTTAGGCGATTCCCACCTTGATTCTGTGCTCTATTCAGCCTAGGGCACGTCGATCGATAGTGATCGGTACCACTGTATTCGAAACACGCCCCACGAGTAACTGTCGGTTTATTGCATTTACCGGAGTCACCAACCCGGCCCCTACCTGACAATCCTTTGCATAGTGCCCCAACCTATTGCATGTTGTACAGGAACGACATGGCGTATTAGGATAATGATGGTAATTGCACCTGGCACATTTTGGGGCAGGACCTGTATACTCCTTCCTGACAGGGTTGGTTGCCACGAACCCTTTTACCACTTTATTCCTCTTGTTATCGGTCCTGGTGTTCCCTTGTTTACTTGACTCACCTCCATCTTTCCTCTTCTCATTACTCTTAGTCAAAGATCCATTTCTAACCATCTCATCTGTTAGTGCCCCCGCCTTTAAGATAGCACTTTGAATGGTTGGTGGCTCAGTTGCAGTAACCATTCCACGAATTTGAGGAACTAACCCAGAAATATACCGAGCAATCCGTTTGGACTCGGGGGTAACCAAATGTGGGACTAGTTTGGCTAACTCATGAAATCGATCGGTGTACGCGGCATGGTTAGCTCCCACCATGGTGTGGTTCCAAAACTCATTTTCTATTTTCTGCATTTCATTCTTTGGGCAGAACTCCTCCACTAGCAATGCTTTAAAGTCCTCCCAGGACATGCCTATTGCAGCGGTTCTCCACCTAGCTTGAATCTGTGTGTTCCACCATGTCAGAGCTTTGTTAATTAAAGAGCTTGCTGCATACTTGACCTTCTGGTTATCTACACAATTGCTGATATCCATCACTGCTTCCATCTTCTCTACCCATCTCGTGAGTACCAATRCGCCCCCTTTGCCATCGAAATCCCTTGGCTTACATGCCAAGAATTCCTTGTAAGTACAACCATTAGCATTTCTGGCATTGCTACCAACTGCATCCCCATTATTAGCATCTCCTTCATGCTCCCTTTCTCTACCATAATTCTGGTGGTTAAGGTTATTGCTAACCTGAGTGACAATAGTGGGAATCAGTGCTTGGAGCTGTGTGCTATGATCTCAGCAATGTCAGGGTTTTGGGTCTCACCATTCGCAGTTCCACCACCACGATTTCCACCTCGTCCAGTATTTCGGGCTGATCTTCTTGGAGGCATATTCTATACAAAGAAGGAGATCTCTTAGCCGATAGATAGGGGAAAAGTTTATTTATTGCACAATGACTCATAGTACATTTGCACCTCTCCCCACATCTCGATACACTACCTTGTTCGTGTCAACATTGATCAATGCAAATATGGTCACATAAGCCCACATGGGTCGTGATGCATTTATAATTACGTTGGCCACCCATAATTATAACTGCATCCTTTCACATATGTACTTATTACCAAAGCTTTGCATATCTCAACATCATACACCCCATCTATAGGTAGGTATCAAC